TCTGAAGTGGTAACGTTTGAGTCATTTCCCTCATTTGTGTGTTTGCTCTACCAGTGAGTTTATTATAGTGTTGGTCTAATGGTGATGAATTCTCTGTTTTTGCTTCCTGAAAAAGATTTCTGCTTCATTTATGAAGCATACCTTTGCTGGATATAGCGTTTTCGGCTATTTCTTTCAGCTTCTTTTCTTCCAGCACTTTGAATATATAATCCCACTTTCTCCTGACCTTTAAGGTTTCTGCTGAGAGAGGAGTCCAGCTCAAATCTGTCTCCTTGTTCTGGCTTTCAGGCAGTAATTTTATTAGAAAAGGCTTAGGAGGTGGATTCTGGGATTAGTAGGTGACTGACAGAAGAAAAGGCAAGGTCTGGAAAGGCCTAGGGATGCACAATTATCTCCTTGTGCTACCTCATGGATTGCATATGGAAATTCAGATGTGATTAGCATGAAACAAACAATGGAAATTCAGGAGGTGAGGTCAACAATCTCATTCTGTGCAAAATTCCAGTTGACCATATTGGTTCCAACCAATATCAGCCAGTTTTTGAAATCTCAGAAGTGGAGGGAGTTTCACTGTTTCAGCAAGTTAGTTCTTATCTGCTTTCCTGTAAACTTAAGTATTTGTTATTTGTTTCTTACTCTTTGAGGTACAGCTTCAGTTTCAAGTGTTCAGCAAGTTATTTTGTATCTGGTGTCCCATAAGCCCAACAATTTAATCATTTAAAAAATAGCTGTTAGGGGAACAGTTTCGAGTTCTGACCAGTTTATGCAACTTAATCATGTCAAGATATAGAACATTACCATCACATCAGAGAGGTCACTCATATCCTTTCTTAGGCAATCCTTCTTGCCTCCCCAAGATAATCATTGTTCTGACATTTTCCTTCACTGAATTATTTTATATGTTCTAGAATTTCATGTGAATGGAACTGTAAAGTATGTACTTGTGAGTATAAAATTATTTCATTCAGCTTGTTTTTATATTCTTCCATGTTGTATCTGTAGTTTGCCTTTAAATACTGAGTAGTATCCTATTGATATGGTTTGGCTATGTGCCCCCAAATCTCATCTTGAATTGTAGCTCCCATGGTCCCTACATGTCATGGGAGGGACCTGGTGGGGGTAATTGAGTCATGGGGGTGAGTTTTTCTTATACTTTTCTTGTGATAATTGAATCAGTTCCACAAGATATGATGATTTTATAACTTACACATGCTCTCTTGCCTGCCACCATATAAGACATGTTTTTCTTCCTCCTTCCCCTTCCACCACGACTATGAGGCCTCTCTAGCCATGTGGAACTGTGAGTCCATCAAACCGTTTTCTTTATAAATTACCCAGTCTTAGGTATTTTTTATTTTTGTGAGACAGAGTCTTGCTCTGTCACTCAGGCTGGAATGCAGAATACATCCGGCTCACTCCAACCTCCACCTCCTGGGTTCAGCCAATTTTCATGCCTCAGCCTCCCAAGTAGCTGGAATTACAAATGCTTATCACCACATCCAGCAAATTTTTGTATTTTTTGTAGAGATGGGGTTTCACCATGTTTGCCAGGCTAGTCTTGAACTCCTGGTCTCAGATGATCCACCTGCCTCAGCCTCCCAAAGTGCTGGGATTACAGGCATGAGCCACCATGCCCACCCCTTTGGGTATTTCTTTGTAGCTGTATGAATATGTACTAATAGGCTTATTATATAAATATACTACAATTTGTCTATCCTCCTATTGATAGACACTTAGGTTTTTAGTTTGTAGTTATTATAAAGCTACTGAACATTCTGTACAAGTCATTTTATGAACACATACTTCCATTTTTCTTGTATGATATACAGGAGAGGGCTGGTGGTTCGTGAAGTATTACTAGGTATATGCTTAGTTTCACAAGAAAGTGTCATAACTTTCTCCAAAGTGGTCATATCATTTTATATTCTCACCAACAATGTGAGTGCCTTACCAAGTTGCCAACATAGTGTTGGCAGTCATTTTAAATTCAGTCATGATGAATGTGTACTGGTGTTTTACTGTGGTTTGGGTTTCCTATGACTAATGATGTTAAGTTTTCTGTGTGTCTCCATTATTTCCCCATGAAGTTTATTAATTCTTTAGTACTAATTTGTCTGGGTCCTCAAAATTCTGTTGAGATTATGACCAAAATTGCTTCAGTTGTATTGATTTTGGACATATCATCTTCATAATACTTAATCTGTCTTTGTTCTATTATATAAAGCTTTTATCTTCTCTAGAAAACATTTTATTTCTATAGATTCACAACTGGATTTGTTAGACTTATTCATATGTATTCTTATTTGTGAATAATATAAGATTTTTTTTTAAAATGTCTTCTCCATTTACTGGTGTTACATATTGAAGGTTTTTTTGTAGCTGTTTATCTTATCTCTAACAACTTTATTAAACTTTCCTGTAAGTTATAATAGTTTCTTAATTCTAGTTATATTAAATAAATCAGTCTTTTTGCAAACAAATATATCTTCTGTAACTTTTCCATTGCATTATCTAGAATAGTGGTTGTCAAGAGTCATTCTCAAAAGTGAATTTTACCTTTCAAGAGACATTTGGCATTATCTAGAGACTTTTGGTTGTCACATTGTGGGAGATACTCTCTGGTAGATTAAGGCCAGGGATACCTTACAATATACAGGACATGCCCCCACAACAAATAGTCAACTGGCCCAAATTGTCAGTAGTGCTGAGGTTAAGAAACTCTGCTTGAGATCTTCCAGAAAACATTCAACAGTATTAGAATAAAGAAATCTTGTCTTACTCCTGATTTTAATGTGAATGTCTAATATTAATAAGTATAAAATTAGATATAAACTAGTGTGGTAGCAATAAGCATAAAAGTGAGACATTTTCAAGAGAACTTTGTAAACTACTAATTATTCAATGGTGACAGAAGCTCACCATGGCACTAATTCTCAGAAAGGTAAGTTTCAGAAAAGGTATGAAGAAGGAGGTGGAAATGTTCATTACATGGTTGACTTTCACCTGGAGACATACCCTTGGCTGCTAGAATTACTAAGGCATAAGAATTATACAGTGTTAGTTTATATCAGCCAGGCAACTTTGGACCTGCAGGTAGAGGAAACCCATGATACTGATAGTGAATGTCTTCTGTAGGTTGCAAACTTCTATAAGCTGTCTTAATTGTTGTGTATCTAAGTAGGCCTATTCTTCCCTTACTTGTTATGAATCCCCCCACTTACCAGCATTTAAAGATGTTTTCCATTTGCTTTTTGCTGCTGGCATTGAGAAAGCTTCTATTAATCTGTCAGTTTTACATTCTTTGTGAGTAATATCTTTTATAAAGAGCTTTCTCATCATTGATATTCTAAAGTTATGCTACAGTGGATTTAATATTTTGTGAATATCTCTTTCTTGTTGAAGCTTCAATTAGATGTTTTTGTTGGAACTCCATTTTATAACATATTAAATATCATTTTTAATTCTTTTGGCTGACAATTTCTGAGATTATTTCTAGGTCACTTGTTTGATTAGCTGTGTTTTTTTGAGTATTCAGCCCATTTGTTAACTTGAATTTTTCTAAGATATCTAATAGGTCCATTCTTAGAACCACTTGTTTCTATTTCAAACAAGATACTCCTTTCTGTCTAAATATATTCAATCTTTTAAGATTCTACCTCTGAAATCCCAACACTTGGGAGGCCAAGGAGGGCAGATCACCCGAGTTTGAGAATTCGAGACCAGACTGGCCAATGCAGTGAAACCCTGTCTTTACTAAAAACACAAAATCTAGCTGGGACTGGTGGTGTGTGCCTGTAATCCCAGCTACTCAGGAGGCTGAGGCAGGAGAATCGCTTGAACATGGGAGGCAGAGATTGCAGTAGGCCAAGATCATGCCATTGTACTCCAGCCTGGGTGACAGAGTGAGACTCCATCTCCCCACAAAAACCCAAAGATTCTGCTTCAATTCTGATAATGTGTTTTCTTATTGGAATTGCTTCTATGATGCATTGGCTTTCCTCAAGTTTAAGTAGCAGCACTATTTATTCTTAACAGAATACAAAATTTGAACGTGTGCTATTGTAGCTACTTCATATTCATTGATGTACTTAATATCCTCAACTTTCTAAGGTACTATTAACCCCATGCAATGGTTAATACTGGATGTCAACTTGATTGGATTGAAGGACACAAAGTATTGATCCTCAGTGTGTGGGTGAGGCTGTTGCCAAAGGAAGTTACCATTTGAGTCAGTCAGCTGGGAAAGGCAGACCCACCCTTAATCTGTGCGGACACAGTTTAATCAGTTGCCCGCTTTGCTAGCTCAGCTAGAATATAAGCAGGTAGAAAGTGTGAAAAGAGACTGACTTAGCCTCCCAGCCTACATCCTTCTCCCATGCTGGATGTTTCCTGCCATCAAACATCAGATTCCAGTTTCTTCAGTTTTGGAATGCATACTGGCTCTCCTTGCTTCTCAGCCTGCAGATGGCCCATTGTGGGAACTTGCGATTTTATGGGTTAATACTTAATAAAATCATATATATATATATATATATATATATATATTCCATTAGTTCTGTCCCTTTAGAGAGCCTGACTAATACAGATTTTGGTACTGAGACTGGGGTAGTTCTAGAGGAACAGAATATTAAGGATGGAGTTCTTTCATTGGCTTTGGAGTTTCTGGAGTTGGCTGATTAATATAATTGACCCCAGAATGCTAAGAACTCTACTTCTAATGGTATGGAGAAAACTGACAGTCCTTGGCCTGAACTGTTTAGAGAGTTATGCAAAATAAATGCATTTGACACCCCTAGTTCATTGTTCATGAGAAGCAAGGAGTTTAGTGACTCGATATATAATACCTTTGACCATATGTGGAGAACCAAGGAACATAATAGCTGGTTGGCTGCCCCTAAGTTCAGTGGACAAAGTGATGAAAGGAAATGATGAACTCAGGGATTCTATATTCCAGCTTCAGAAGCAGATACTGAGCTTCAAATCCACTAAGACTGCCCTGAGTGAGAGTCTTATCTCCTGTAGAGAAAGAGCTGAAATTTGGAAAAACAGACACAAGCTGTTATCAGGAGAATGGCTGACCTGCAATGAAAGTGCATGCACAGCCTCACCAGGTGTCCACTGTTAAAGTGAGGGTATTGATTGGAAAAGAATGGGACCCTGCAACTTGGAAGGGGGAATGTGTGGGAGGACCCTGATGAAGCTGGGGACACTGAGCTTGTTAACTCTGACGGAACTTTTTTGCCAGAAGAAACAGCTTCCCCATTCTGAGTAGTGGCCATATCCCCTCCCTGGCCCATGCTGCCATCAGCCTTTCCACCTTTGTCTGAGGAGATAAACCCTGTGCTACCTGACGCAACAGTGATGGCCTCCTCAGGGAGTTGCCAGGGAAGATGATGTTGATTCTCCTCAGGAGCCACCCCCAATACCCCTGTTTGCTTCTAGACCTATAATTAGACTAAAGCCCTGGCAGGCTCCTAGAGGTGAGGTTGAGACTGTGACCCATGAGAAGGTGGGCTACACTTGAAAATAACTGCTTGAGTTTTCTAATTTATATAAACGGAAATCTGGAGAACAGGCATGGTGGATATTAACGGTCTGGGATAATGGTGGAAGGAACATAAAGTTGGATCAGGCTAAATTTTTTAATTTGGACCCTTTAAGTAGGGACTTTGCCTGTAATGTTGCAGCTCAATGGGAACTACTTAATTTATGCAAGAAGAAAACATCTAGGTTTAATGGAAAAAAGACTAATTCTAATTATGAAAACAGAATCACAGCCCCTCAACCAATTTCTAGACTTGAGCCAGTTTATGGGTCCAGAACCCCTTGAATGAAAGAGAGGCTTGGTCCCCTTGAAGAAGGACCTCCACTACATTGCCAACAATTTATGCAGCGAATCTCCCTTCTTTCCCCTTATGGAGCCTTTTACCAAGGTAACTGTGCCTTGGGGAAAGGGATATGATCAGACATTTTGGAGACTACTGGACACTGGCTCTGAGTTGACGTTGATTCCAGGGGACCCAAAACATCATTGCTGGTCCTCCAGTTAAAGGGCTTATGGAGGTCAGGGAAGTAATGGAGTTTTAGCTCAGGTCCAACTTACACTAGGTCCAGTGGGTCCCCAGACTCATCCTGTGGTCATTTCCCCGGTGCCAGAAGGCATAATTGGCATAGACATAATTAGCAGCTGGCAGAACCCCCACATTGGCTCCTTGACTGGTAGAGTGAGAACTATTAAGATGGGAAAGGTCAAATGGAAGCCATTAGAGCTGCCTCTATCTACAAGAATAGTAAATCAAAAACAGTATCACATCTCTGCAGGGATTGTGGAGATTAGTGCCACCAATCTCCTTTCAAGGATTTGAAAGATGCAGGGGTGATCATTCCCATCACATCCCCATTCAATTCTCCCATATGGCCTGTGCAGAAGACAGATGGATCTTGGAGAATGACAGTGAATTACTGTAAGCTTAACCAAGTGGTGACTCCCATTGCAGCTGCTGTACCAGATGTGGACTCCAAGTTCTTCAGTTTTGGAAGTTGGACTGTCTCTCCTTGCTTCTCAGCCTGTAGACAGCCTATTATGGGACCTGTGATTATGTGGGTTAAAATTTAATAAAATCCCCTTTATATATTTCTATTCCATTAATTCTGTGCCTCTAGAAAACCCTAATACACTCCACTTTACAGATGACCCAACTGAGGCAATGAGAAAGTAAAAGCTCAAGGCCAAGGAGTTAATAAGTTTTGGAGCCTGCATACAATCCCATTGAGCCCCTATTTCTTCCCAGGGAGTACCAGTCATTTGAGGCCCTGAGAAACCTGATTCAAGCTTGCATGCTTATTCTTTGCCCCTGAAAATGATTACATTGGTAGCTAATTGGCTTACAGTGCAATGGGTAGAGGCATCCACACATTTAGCTGCAATGCATGAATTACCTCTGTGTACCCTCCTGCAGCCCACACCTACCCCTGACTACGAAAAGGCATTGCACATCCTTCAGGTGAAGGTCAATTTTCTAGACCGAGAATTGTTTTAATCTTAGCTCTGCATTAATATGAAGGAACCCCTATCATAACTTTAAAGTACATATACAAATAAGAAGAGAACATTAAGAGGTAAGGTTTCACCACTTAATTTCTAGTATATTCACCTGTACTGCTTGCATTTACCAAATCCTGACTCTGGGTGTCAAGGTGGGGTAGGGGCATGGTAGAGGAAAGATTTTTTTTAACTGAATGCACCCACCATCTCAGGAAGCTTTTTATACCGAATCCACATTGCTGTTGGAGCACAATCTGCTTATACATAATTATAATACAAAGAAGATTTATTTGCATGCATAGCGAAGAGAGTTAGGAAACTATATAAAAAGCAAAGCAGTCTTCAGGCAAGTGGAACTGATCAGGACTTAAGTAGCTGACTCTGGGATCACTACAATGGGAAGACTTGCTGTGCTGCCTTCAGAAGTTAAGTCTCTTCACCTGATGTCTTAGCAGACTTTTCAGATGGGCCTTTCTGTTGGAGAAACTCTTCTAATACCTTCTGTCCATGTTCCAAAAAAGCTATGTTTGTTCCCTGTTTATGTAGGAACTCCATTACGACGTTTATGAGCTATAGAAATAAAACAAGGAAGCACCTACATTAAGGACCACATCTGCAGCAAGAAGCTACCCATCTTCTAGCCCAGGGACCAGCAGTTCCAGGAGCATGTCAGAATTTCAAAATCTCAAGTTCCACCCCAGATCTACTAAACCAACCATTTTAAAAGAGACTAGGTGATTCACATCCATACTCAAGATCCAACAGCACTGATCTAAGATATTCAAGACCTTTGAGTGAATATAAGCATCTACTTCCAATGGGAATGAGTATTAGGTTGTCTCATCAAAAGTACAGGTTATTTTAAGTAACAGGCTACTACTGCAATGGTTTTCAATCCTGATTATTTGAATCACAGAGATTTTGAGTAGCTCCCTAGACCTCATTCCTAAAGATTGAAATTTAAGTGATTTGGCATAAGGTTCAGGCACTTGTGCCATTTCAGAGCTCCTCATTGAGTCCAATATGTATCTAGAGTTGAGAGCTATTGTACTAGGCCCATTTTCTTCACTTTGACTTCCTGAGAAGCTAGGGAGTTAGAGAAGTTACCACATTGAGGTAGTGTTTACCAGTAACCAGGAAGACTTCAGAGAAGTCTGTATTGTAATAGGCCACCATTAACGTCTACTTTTGCAGGGACAGTCTAGGACAGCAGTTCTCAAACTGTGGCTGTCAGCCAGCAGGATCACCTAGACTTGTTAAAACACATTCCTGAGACCCATTCAAAACCAACCCAAGAAAACTTTCGGACTGAGCCCTAGAAGTTTGTTTTAGTAAGCCCTCCAGGGGATCTTGTAAATCTTAAGCATTTGATTTCATCTTGTAAATGCTTAAGCTCAGTAAATCTTAAGCATTTCTGGTTTAGGAGATTTACAAGGCAGCAGCAAAAAAAACCATTGTTTGGTTTAATTTTATAGAGCGCATTACTCCTGGGAAGATGTTTTCACCATATACTAAGTTTCATTTTTCCTTACCAGGACAACTGTCTCCCCACTCCCAAACTGCTCCTAGAAATAAGTTCCCAGACTTCCTTGGAGGAAAACAAACACACGTTGCATGATCTGTTGCCTTGGTCATATTTCCCAGAGGCAAATCATAATCCAGAAGTGAAAGATGACACTGTCAGAACCAGTTAACTACTTACCTCAGTTTCTTCATCCTTAGAAGCTGTGGTTTTCAGGTCCTGGAGGACATCGGTTAACATGTTCTCCAACTGCAGAGCGGATTTCAGGGCTTGTAAGCCACTTCCCCGGTTATTTCTGTCAGGCCTCTATTGGAGATGAACAGGAGAGTCGCTTTTCTACTTCAGGCACAGTTTTGTTGCATTCTGCTTCCTGTGTAGGACCATGACCAGATTTGCATAATATAATGGTCTCCCAACTTTGAGATGCAATGGAATCAACTGAGAATCTTAAATGCTAATGCTTGGCTGTCAATTGCAGACCCCGTGACTTAATTGGGGTATGGGATGCAACGTGGGCATGATGACGTTTAAAAGATTCCCAGGTGATTTTAATGCACTACAGGGCAAGGGTACTACTAGCACAGGTACACATACAAGTATTCCATTAGCTTTGGAATTCTATGATGGTGGTCCAACTGTTATTAGCAGACATTTACTTCTCTTTTATGAAGCTGGAGTTAAAAAAAAAAACCTTAGGAAAATTAGGTATGTCCCGGGTGTAATATTTCCAACTAAATTTCAGGTTGTTTGGAGTGTGTGCCCAAGCAAAAAAAAAGTTTGTTTCACTGCTTTAAAGAGACAGCCATATTAAATACCTGAACATGTATCTGAATTAGATGAACAATCTGAAATAGGATGATAACACCTCTGGGAACAAGGTATTAGAAGAGAGCTTCTTGAACTACACGTATCATTAGGATCATCTGAAGAGCTTAAGATATAGCTCTTTGGGCCTATGTCTGGGGTGAGAGCCATAAATTAGCATTTCTAATGATTCCACAGGTGATACGGACAATCCAGAGGCCACACTTTGTGAAGCTCATTTAGCTCAGCCAAATGAGCATTTAGTGGCTACAATGATGTTGACATATACTTGCTCTCAATGTCAGTTAGTTGCTAAGAAGCCCATGTTGGAACATGAGTAACCTAACAAGTTAGTAGCAACTAACCAGTTTAGTTTAGTTCTCTAGACCTGGCAAAGGCCCCACAGAAGTCATCATAAAGTTTGACATTCACCTTAGTAACTGGAAGGCAGATCATACTCTCACGTTTTCTTAGATATCTTAGGAATCGCTTTGCATGCTCCCTTTTCATCTCAGCCTGCTCTGAGAAGAACTTGGCAGAAGAAGGTATTCCTGTATCTTCAGTGTCATAACAGGCCTGGTCAAATATAAGAAGAGGGGGAAGCTGAGGGTGAGATAAAGTAGTTTTTAAGACCCGACTCTCACACAAACTCACCTTGTTGTCTCACTGGTTCAGCGTATTCCCAGCACTATTCACCTTGCTGAATATGGTGTTGACATCTCAGAACTCCCATCATATCCCACCTTGAGATCAGTTATGTGTGTTGGGGTCTTACAGAGAAAGGACGGAGATGTATGGTCCCTCATAGACAAAATGCATTTTAGCCAGTTTTCTTAGATTCGCCATGGGATCCAGCATGCGGTGCCATAATACTTTCTGAAGAAAGGAAAACAATTAAAGGAAATGCATCCTTTCTGTTGATGCCTCACTACTCATGGTATATATCAGCCTTCTCAAACCACAATCACAGAGAAAACACTCAACACTGACTGGGTTAGTAAAAGCGCTAACCCCCTCTTTCTTCACTATTTTCTCTGACTTGATTGGTTCTTTCATCTGGAAACAATGTGCTCATTGGTAGATTAGTAGCTGTTAATCTCAGTTTAAGGGAATTTCGTTTTATAAGAAGCGGGCTGGCTATCTTCCTGTTAGTATTTAAGAAATCCCTTACCTTAGTAGGTGTTACTTCTTATGGCTGGATTTCCCTAACGCTGAGATGGAACACGAGGCCCACCTTCCCTCTTCTGAAGAGTGTAAAGTTGCTATTAACCGAGTAGCAGCTTATCAGCTCCTTATCAGTGATGTTTATTTATCCATGGTAGGTAGGGATTCTTGAGCAACTGAGAGGAATGTTTTAGCTCTGCTCTGGGTGAAAATATATCTTGTATCTCCTTAATAATAGTGTTATGGCCAGATTGGTGGTCAAATGCCAGACAAAACAGCGATTCAGTGGTTGGGATATTGCTTCTCTGCAGCCCTTGGATTACAAGCTATGGGCTTTCATAGGGAAAGTTACAGTTCTTTCCCTGGAAGAGGCCTTCTTTGGTCGGTCTTGGGGGCTGTTTGTTCTTTGACCTCCAGAAGGCTCTAGCTGTACCCACAACCTAGTCTACCTCAGAGATCAGCTATCCAGTCCCAATATGCTGGTGCCTAATGTTTTACTCTTATGGCCTCTTTAAGGGTCATATTTTTTAACTTAGATGCCAGTACTTATATCTTCTAATTTTGTAGATATGACAAGTATAACATAAATTTACATTTTAAAAACACATTTCATCAATCCTAACACATCCATATTAATTTTGAAATACTGTATAGGTATAAAACTGTGTATTCACTCTGTCACCAGTGTTTGATGCCCGTGTAGTTTTGGAAACACACTGGAAAGAACCGTAACTTTCCCTATCAAAGCCCATAGCTTGTAATCCAAGGGCTGCAGAGAAGCAATATCCCAACCACTGAATCGCTGTTTTGTCTGGTATTTGACCACCAATCTGGCCATAACACTATTATTAAGGAGATACAAGATATATTTTCACCCAGAGCAGAGCTAAAACATTCCTCTCAGTTGCTCAAGAATCTAAACCTACCATGGATGAATAAACATCACTGATAAGCAGCTCATAAGCTGCTACTCGGTTAATAGCAACTTTACACTCTTCAGAGAGGGAACGTGGGCCTCGTGTTCCATCTCAGCATTAGGGAAATCCGGCCATAAGAAGTAACACCTACTAAGGTAAGGGATTTCTTAAATACTAACAGGAAGACAGCCAGCCCCCTTCTTATAAAATGAAATTCCCTTAAGCTGAGATTAACAGCTACTAATCTACCAATGAGCACATTGTTTCCAGATGAAAGAACCAATCAAGTCAGAGAAAATAGTGAAGAAAGAGGGGGTTAGTGCTTTTACTAACCCAGTCAGTGTTCAGTGTTTTCTGTGATTGTGGTTTGAGAAGGCTGATATATACCATGAGTAGTGAGGCATCAACAAAAAGGATGCATTTCCTTTAATTGTTTTCCTTTCTTCAGAAAGTATTATGGCACCGCATGCTGGATCCCATGGCGAATCTAAGAAAACTGGCTAAAATGCATTTTGTCTATGAGGGACCATACATCTCCCTCCTTTCTCTGTAAGACCCCAACACACTTAACTGATCTCAAGGTGGGATATGATGGGAGTTCTGAGATGTCAACACCATATTCAGTAAGGGGAATAGTGCTGGGAATACTCTGAACCCCTCTGTGGTGACTGAGCAACCCCAAGCTTCTGGAAGAATTGGCAAAACCCAAGGTATCTAAAATAACAAGAAGAAATTGTTGTTGGTTTTTAACCTGTAAATTCTCTTAGAATTTCGTTTTCCTGAAATGAGTTATTTGCTTTGTGATGCTTGTTACTGTACCAATTATATTTGAGAAAATGAAGGACAATGTGAAATGCTGTAACTTGTAACTTTGGCTCTGCTGAACAGTTCTGGTAAAAACAGGAACTCTGTGAAAGGGACTAACCACATAGCTTGACCGCGGGAGAGAGATGACAGCGGGTAATGGGCTTCTCATCGCAGAGAGCCCATAAACCGACGTGAAATGGAGAGGCTTATTACCTGGATTCCTTTCCCAGGAAAGGCATATTGATTAGGGCCCTGGAAAGGGGATGCGACCCTTATGGAGAGCCTGTAAATGGACTCATGAGGGGCGTTTGTCTCTGTGGTTGAGATAAGATGTAAGTCTTTTTTCTCCCACTGCTCCTCCAGGCCTCTGTGGAGCCCCTCCTCTTGCCGTTTTTGTGGTCAGGCTGGTTGTCCTGTGTCAGATCCTGTTTTCCCTGTAGCTGGGAGCCCAATATATTCTTGCTGATAATCATAAGGTTATGTTTAATCTATATTCTTGCTAAGATGTATGATTTCTATGTTGACACACAGTTATCTTTACATTGTTCTGCTTTTATAATACCACGTCGTGATTTTTGTGTGCCAGTTTTTGCAAATGTATTCTTTTTGTATAATTATCACTGAAACTTTGCAAACCTTGCTCCCCCTCTCCTATTGAAAGAGTACAATAAAAAACAGGGTTTCAGGGGAATGTCAGACATCCATGGAGCAGCATTATGTGGTGTCTTCCCTGGGCCCAGCTTTAAGGAAAATTGTTTTCTTGTCTCTCTTTTTTACCAACCACTCGATCACTTTGAGAGATCTTAAACCCACATTGATGTATTGGGAGCTGGTCTCACCGATATAATAGGGCAGATTTAATTAATAAATTGGCCTTGAAAACTGAACAAGAATGTAGAGAATTGGAAATGGAAGAAGGGCATTCCACCTGGAAAACAAGCTACACAGGCTGTAAATATGAGAGGTCTTAGTGGTTTCTCCAATCTACAGAAGACTTCTCCAGTTGGGAACCTTTGGCTCCTCCTTATACTGTATCCCAAAGGTCCCTACCTGCTGCAACATACACCTTAATTTGCATCTTTTGAGGGCAAAGACTGTTCCACTTGTTTTGGTGTATGTACAGCCATAATGGAGTGCTTTGTAAATGATATATGCTGAAACAATGTTGATTAAATGAAAACTATATTTTGTGTGTAAGTGAAGTGCAAGATTTCTCATGATGAGTCTGCTTGAACCTAGTAGAAGTGGCAGGTCACCAAAGTCTACCTCTTGAGGCAATGAGGAGTGAGGCAGCCTCCTGAGAACTTTTATTCCCTGACCCAGCATCGCTGTTGTCCCCAGTTGGTTTTAACGCCTTAGTCCCAAGAAGAGAGAGGTGCTTTAAGTCAGTGGTTCTCAAAGAGTAACTTGCATATGAACCACCTGGGGCTGTGGTTAAAATGCAGATTCTGATTGTGGAGACCTGAGAGTCTGCATTTCTAACAATGCTGCCGACTGCTGTTGGTGCAAGGCCCACACTTTGAGTAGCAAGGGTTTAAGTACATTCCTAAGAAGCTGTTTCAGTAAAAATTCCATAAAACAGAAATGGCACTACTGGGAACCTTCTAATAGGAGAGGAAAGGGAAACAGTCTCTGCTGCTTCTCCACAGACTCCTGTATTGCTTGGCATGTGAGAGTTCCCGGGACCATCATGGCAGCACCCTAGGGGAGGTGGCAGTGCCAGGACACTCTGCAGTATCCAGCCTATGAAGTTACTGCAGGTGAAGAGGAAAGAAAGTGAAAACTCAACAGATAATTAACTTTTTTTCACAGTATATGTAAAACATTACCTCAACTCCCTCCAAAATTTGGGGAAATTTTCAGGAGATTAGGATCCTGTGTGAGCAGATGAACAAGTGTCAATGAAATCTGAAGTGTTACTGTTACTTTTAAATCTACAAGACAGTAAATCTGAAAGATACAGACTTTACTTACTGGGAGATGTGAAAAGAGTTTGGAGTTTTCTGGATGATCTATTATATTCTTCCATAAGAACATTCCAGGATTCTATCATTCCACCTAGGCCAAAACAGTGCTGGATGCATATGAATAAACTATCCCTGTTTTATATGGTTTGGATATTTGCTCTTTCCAAATCTCATGTCGAAATTTGATCTCCAGTATTGGAGGTGGGGCCTACCAGGAGCTATTTGGGTCATGAATGGCTTGGTGCCCTCCCTGTGGTAATTAATCCAGGGCAGATCTGATTGTTAAAAAGACTCTGGGACCTCCCTTTCCTCTTGGTCTTGCTCCCCCTCTTGCCATGTGACATGCTGGCTCCCCTTGCCTTCCATGATGAGTAAAAGCTCTTTGAGACCCTCACCAGGAGCAGATGGTGGCACCATGCTTCTTGTACAACTGTCAGCCAAATAAAGCTCCTTTCTGTATAAATTATGCAGCCTCAGGTATTCCTTTATGGCAGCACAAAATGAACAAACATTCTGTTCTTGTTGTTTGATATTATTAAGGAATATTGCTATCTGACCATTTAAAACTGACCTTAGCAATTTGTAGGAAAAAAGCGTGGGGCCAAGCACAGTGGCTCACCACCTGTAATCCTTGCACTTTGGGAGGCCAAGGTGGGTGGATCATCTGAGTCCAGGAGTTTGAGACCAGCCTGGCCAACATGGCAAAACCACATCACTACAAAAAATACAAAAAATTAGACAGGCCTGGTGGGGCACACCTGCAGTCCCAGCAACTTGGGAGGCTGAAGCAGGAGAATTGCTTGAACCTGGGAGGTGGAAGGTGCAATGAACTGAGATGGCACCACTGCACTCCAGCCTGGGTGACAAGAGCGATACTCAAAAAAAAGAATATCAGAAAATAAAAGCTTTCATGTATGTTCAGGTAATATATATGTATTTTTAAAGCTAAGATCAACAAAAAGAATTTTGAAGAGAGGAGTATGTGGTAGGGCTAGAAGAGGGAGAAGTTTTTGACCAAGAACAAGGTAGGGAGGGAGACAGACACTAATAGGATAAACAATGTAACATTTACCAAGGAAGGCAAGAAAGCAGAGCAACTGAAGTTGTATCACAGGGGAAATCATATGTAAACAAAACCCCCTCAAATATTAACAGGGAAACACAAGTATGGTAGCAGGGATACCCAAGTAGGGCAGTACCAAACAAGAGTGCCTAGATGATTTACATAAGGATCCATGTTCATGGCTAACAGCTTTATTCTTCAGTTGAAATAATGACTTCCGGAAGTGACTTAGGAGCCCTGTTCATAATGTTTAAAGAATACTGGAGGAAAATGCCAAAATACAACCAAAGACTCTTATGATATCTTCTTGGCAAAATGCAGACATTTGAACTGGATGATAACATAGGCCAATTCGCATCTGAAAATCAAAGAAGGCTATTTATTGGATTGGGAAAAATTTAGCAAAACTTCAATACCAA